CATATTTATTTATGTATAGAAAAAAATTGGCTATTAGGCATCTGAAGGAATCAATATAACAATAACAAAACCAATTTATTTAGACATTATTTTCTAAAATTTAATATGTCAAACCAGACAAAGAATTAGTTCTTTGTAGATGAACTTATATCTATTACATTCCAAGAAAAAATTTTAAGTAAGGCACAAATAACTTCAAGTCCTAAAGATTCTGTAAACCCCAATAGAGAGCGAAATTGCTGATCTAATATTTTGATACATACATGCAAACACACGTTTCAGTTATCATTTTTGTTTCTTTATGTGGACTCTCACAGAATTGTAAGAATATGGATTATTTCATTTAGTTTTAGCTTAGCAATTCTTGTTTTGTTTTGTTTTTCTGTTTTTTTTAGCTTATCAATTTTTATACTGTAATATGAATTGGCCCTGACTCATGTATCTAATACCTTAAAAGAACCATTCAGTGATAAACAATTGTGATAGACAGAAAAAAAAAAAAGATCCCAAACATAGTAATTGAATTAGATCTAGATTGGCTAGATTTGGTTACAGGGCTTTGGCTTTCATTGTAGATTGATCCCTGAATTGGGCAGGGGGAGGTAAATCTATGCAGTTGCTGATCCTTCTTGATGTTCAGAGAAAAGATAGACTGGATATTGCATCTTAGTTACACAGAATAGCACTAGTTACAATGGGTAGACACCTCATCTGACTCTTTAAAATTGGAGTTCAGTTCATTTGCTTGATGGGGCCCCTAAGGTGTGTACTCCTGTTCTGTGGTATAGTCTTCCTGACAATCATAATGGAAGTCTGCTTTGTGAATGTATATAGACAAAACATGTGTCTGAGTGTTGAGTATCAGTTTCTATTTGACCCAAAGGATGAAAATTCACAGAAATGTATGTGATCCCAAGGATTTTATTTTAAATTTTTTATTACTTTTATTACTTTTATTGAGTGTGTGTGTGTGTGTGTGTGTGTGTGTGTGTATGTGTGTGTGACATTTCATGGTATGCATGTGGAGGTCAGAGGACAACTTGAGGGAACTATTTCTTTCCTTCCACCATATGAGACCCAGGGATGAATCTCAGGTCATCAGACTTGGCGGGAAGCCATCTCCGCAGTCCTATCATATGGATCCTATGATCAATGTGTTGAAACTAGAAGCCATAAGTGATGATTAATTAAAGAGGCACCCTACATTTCAGAGAAACTATTAAAAAAATTGTTGCTTTAGTCTGGGTCCTGCATTGGCTCCAGACTAGGCTAAAAAAAATGGAGTCATTCATGATAAATTCCCATGTCCCAAACTAAAACTACATAAGATGATCTGAATTTCTGAGAAGTCAGAATTAGAAAGAGCAGTTAAATTTTCTGCCCGTGTAGATGTGTAGATTTTGGACAGTTGGTATAAATGGGATTGTTTGGTGCAGGGCTATTTCTGAGGTCTTCTTCCACTCAGTAGAATGTCTTCAAGCTTCACTCATGTTGTGCTATGTAGCCGAACTTCACTTCCCCTTATGCTCAAACAACTTGCTGTGCAGTGTGGCCGCATTTTATTCAATCATCATTCGATGCACATTTGCATTGATCTTTTATTTTTTCATTGTTATGAATGGTGTTAGGAGCATCCCTGTTTGTATCCCAGAGATCGTGGATGTGTTCAGAAATAAAGAAGAATTTCTTTTTTTCTGGTCTTTTTGAGACTGGGTCTCCCTGTAGCCCACATTGGCCTAGAACTCACAATGTAAACTACTCTGTCCTGGATCTCACAGAGATTTCCTTGCCTCTGCCTCCAGAGTGCAGAGATACTTCCAGCTTGGGAAGCCCCGCTACCTGACATTGTGAAGATAACATTAGACTTAAGGAGAAAACTACACAAGGTTTAAATTACTCCATTCGAGATAACTGACTCCGGCACTGTCTTTGTACTAGTGTCTTTTGATTTTTTTCTTTTTAAAACAAGATCTCATGTATTCCAGCCTGGCCTTGATCTCACCATGTAGCAGCAGATGACTTTGAATTTTATCTCCTCAGTTCTGGGATTATAGGTGTGACCTGCCTTTACCTCCCCAATGATGAGATTCAGGTCTCTGCCACTGCAGTTCATTAGTGGGGCAATGGGAGTGGAATCTTGGGCTTTGTGCACACTAGGAAGCACTCTACCAGTTGAGCTACTACTTACTAAGATTATGTACTATTGTCTTTTAAACTTTAAAAATTATAGATATTGGATTGATATAAAATAGTTGTTTTTTAGATTGATGGTTCTATATAGAGGAGGTTTGTTAGCTTTCCATTGCTACTGGGGGAAAGACCATTTTCTGTTGGAATTAGTTAGTTCCTGGCTCTGAGAAGTATCCATCAATTGCTATGGAATTTTCTGAAACTTCAGTGGAAGGTAGTACACATATTATTATATTCTCTAATTTAAATAAATTCTGAGAGACTAAAATATTTTTCATAGTCTTGAAGTTAAAGGAAAATATGAACTTCAGAAACTTAAGAG